ACATATGTACCTTTAGAGTTAAAGGATTCCTTTTTTTAAAAATAGGGAAACAGTGAAGCCCTTGATGAAATTGCTACCACTGATGTGACTGTTACCGATAATAGGACAATTCCCGTTGAAGGTGGGTGGTGATGAGTATCTGTCTTCCCTCTTGTCGATCTCTTCAAAATTGTGTATTGCTAGCGTAGACAGACATGGAGTAGATATGTGTGAAATCCAAGAACACAAGCTGACTAATTGTAAAGCTAGATAGATAATATTTATTATTTTAAGTTTGTTACAGATAATTGCAATATAATTGAAGTATTTTAAATAATCTGTGTAGGCGCAAAGTAACGTTTCATTCTTTAAGATCGGCTGCGTTGCGTTAAATACTTGTCTGAAGTGCCTTCTTACATTTTGGTAACAAACTTCAAATGAGCTGAAACTTGAAACTAATGTAGAAAATTACTACATAAAATTCAAGGACCTGTTGTTTTATCTATAGCGCTCACGAATCGTTCTCTAACATTCACACATAACTCACTAAAGTACTGTTATGTATGACAAACTGAACATTTTACTTGGATAAATCCCAAAGTATTTTCCTAGGTAGTTAAGTAGTTAGGATGCAGATAACGTTAGAAGATTCGCGATAAACAAATCAAAACAAACAACCTTTTCATCAAAACTGATAATGTGTAGTTCTGACTTATTTCAAGTTTTCAAATCAACTTAGTCTATCATTAAAACTGGTCTTTGTTAATACTTTTCAACGTATAAGTTTGGATTATATTTTCTCATTATTTTTTATTTTTATTTATTACAATAAGACAACTCTTCATATTATGTGAACAATGATAACTGTTTTGAAGTATTAGAAGTTTTCTTCTGCAGCTAAAATTTATATGTTTTGCCAGCAGAAACGTAAATAATCATCCTACTGTTGGTTTGGACAATATACTATTTCCATAATCTCAAGAGAAATAATTTTATGATCTTCGAAAGGCTCAGCAACATTGCATTTGTTTGACCTGTTGAAAGACAAAGTTCACCAGTGTGATATCTACGTTGTATCCACAGCCGGGAACTAATCATTAACGTTCTTTTCTTTTAAAAAAAAAGGAAAGCACTCTTCCTCAGACAGTGATGATTTTCTTAAACATTTTCAACGAAGGGGGATTTCTTAAAAGAACACTAGAAGAAAATAAATAAATATAAGTTGCGTATGTGAATCTTTTAAAAACAATAAACTTGTCTGCTTGACTGTAAGAAAATGAAATATGCGAAAAACTGAAAACATCATTGTGAGTTACTTTAACAATTTATATTAACAGTAATTTCTTCAAATATAACTGTGAACTGAGTTTTGCAAATATTTAGGCCGTTAAAATTTCTGTATTTACTAGTATATGTACATGTGATAAGGAAAAAAATGAATATGTCATGATATAAAATACTGTTTGGTTTAAATATTAGTGATTAATTTATATTTGTGAGTGAATACTTTATTATTTTTAGTTTTGTTATAATAAGAGTTAAAAGCAGACGATTGTAGAAGGTTTAGTTAGTAACTAATTGGTGTCGAGAGTATAGAAAGTGGCCAGACGACTATGTAATAAAGATATAAATAACGTGAGAAGAGCGAGAAGCAGCAGACAGACAACAATAGATGGATAATAGTAAAAGAGCATATAGCTGTGTGAAGTTAAGTACCGTAGATGTGATAGGCCTAACGTTTAATATGTTAGAGTGAAACTAACAGTATAAAAATAGAGAAGAAGGATAATTTTATTCCGTCAAAGCGTGGATCTAAAGTAATTGAATCAGCATGGGTACACTTTGACAAAAGGAACAGAGGATCTTCAGAAAAAAAAAAGACCAAACGAATTACGGTAACTTGCGCTACAACTGTAAGTAAATAACACACACGATACTAGTAGTAGCTCGATAGTAATATAGAGAAGATAGTTCGACTTGTCAACTGAAATTCTAAAGTTATTGAATAGGCCTAAGTGGACTTTTGACAAAAAGAAGAGAACTATATATAAATAGTGTTTATGCTATGCCTGTAATCTCTATAGTGTGAAGACTTTGTTGTACATACTTGTTCCGAGTATATATTATTTGAAAACAAGTAAAGTGTGTACTGTTTATTCATCGTCGAATTTATCCCTAACAAGTCACAGACACCTACTGTAGAAGAATCCTAAGCCCAACAACAACATAGTATATATATTTACACTATTAAGAAATATAAGAAAAAGCCATTTATTTCGACAACTGGCAAAAGAAGAACTTATATATATATATATTTGTTCAAAATCTGACAGAATACTTAAAAAAATCGTACTGAAACAACTCATCACAAGAATATGCATTACTGAGGATACTAATTTATTTCTGTGAGTTAATCATCTCTTTAAAATGATAAACAATAAATGTCAAACCAATCTGCCATTTACTTCACAACTGAATAACGAGATATTCCTATGTCACGAAATTCCAACACTGTTTTGTAACTGTGGAAACTTTCAAGTCATAGCCGCACTAGACGTGGTGGGAATTTTGGTTTACAGAAGTTAAATTTATGGGAACAACCAGAGATGCTCAGAAATATTTTTTCTCATCATCCAGCTTCGTGGATAGGGTATTATTATTTGTTAGAGTTTGTGTCAAACGCTATACTTGAGGTGTTGGTATACACTGGGGAAGCCGCGAGAAGAAGAAAAAAACAGAAGAAGAGGAAGGGGAGGAGTCATAGTACCGCCTGGTTTTGTAGTTCTGTCGATGTGTGTATTGTTTCTGTTGGTGTGTGTGTTGTTACTGTAGGTGTGTGTGTGTTGTTACTGTAGGTGTGTTTGTTGTTTCTGTAGATATGTGTGTTATTACTGTAGTTATGTGTGATGTTATTGTCGGTGAGAGTGTAGTTACTGTCGGTGTGTGTTGTTACTATAGATGGGTTTGTTGTTACTGTAGATATGTGTGTTGTTACTGTAGGTGTGTGTTGTTACTGTAGGTTTGTTTGTTGTTTCTGTAGATATGTGTGTTGTTACTGTAAATATGTGTGTGTTGTTACTATAGATGTGTTTGTTGAGTAACAACACACATATCTACAGAAGGTAGATATGTGTGATGTTATTGTCGGTGAGAGTGTAGTTACTGTCGGTGTGTGTTGTTACTATAGATGTGTTTGTTATTACTGTAGATATGTGTGTTGTTACTGTAGGTGTGTGTGTTGTTACTGTAGGTTTGTTTGTTGTTTCTGTAGATATGTGTGTTGTTACTGTAAATATGTGTGTGTTGTTACTATAGATGTGTTTGTTGTTACTGTAGGTTTGTTTGTTGTTTCTGTAGATATGTGTGTTGTTACTGTAAATATGTGTGTGTTGTTACTATAGATGTGTTTGTTGTTTCTGTAGATATGTGTGTTGTTACTATAGATGTGTTTGTTATTACTGTAGATATGTGTGTTGTTACTGTAGGTGTGTGTGTTGTTACTGTAGGTTTGTTTGTTGTTTCTGTAGATATGTGTGTTGTTACTGTAAATATGTGTGTGTGTTGTTACTATAGATGTGTTTGTTGTTTCTGTAGATATGTGTTTTGTTACTATAGATGTGTTTGTTGTTTCTGTAGATATGTGTGTTGTTTCCAGCGTGAGAGGTTTTGTGGTATTAACTGGAGTTATCAGTGAAGCAACCAATTACAAGCGGCATTATCTTTTCTAGTTATATACATTTATTGAATACTTACCTGCACGATTCACGCTATTTTTTTTTAGCCTGGTCGTATGGGCACAGAGGTTCTAAACATATTTTAGAATGAAATAAGGTTTTACTTAAAGATAAATAAGAACTTTACAGGGGGGGGGGGACAGGGACCAAATCTAATGCCCATGAAAATTTGGTAAGTGGAGAAAATCCATTGGTAGGGCGCTGAATAATCAACTGTACCAGTGCTCGTTGCTATAAGTATGAGAGATCGGGTGGTTAGACAGTCAGGGCGTATATTGTGTTAATAGGATAGATGTAATTTGGCTAAGATTTGGGGGTGGCGGCGAGAAATGGGAACTGTTTGGTTTTGGACTCTCTGCATACTGTTACATTGTTCATGAGACAAGTTGGCCGTTACCATAGTGTATTATTGGTCGTATGTAGGGTTTATATATATTGTCATAAAATGTTTTGGGTCGGTACGCCCTGGTTGTGCCACCGATTTTTTCTGTGTATTTTAGTTATAATTATCCGAAAATGTCTGACTTAGTTAATCTATTATTAAAAGTTATGCCTAACAATTTAACGGCTCGTGAAAATTTTACAACTCTAAGACTAATCTTCATATAGTGTTGGCGTGTATAACATAAGTGTGGTGTTTCGAAATTTCTTGTACTCACACAATCATCCCATATTTAACAGCAAACAACAACAACAACAACAAAAAAAAACCACACGCAGGACTGATGCTATTAATTTAATTTTGTGAATTATTTAGCCGAACAAACTGTTTAAATAAAAAATCAAAGTGAAATCCGAGTTACCATCTGTCACCGAGTTAAATTCCAACCATCGTTATTAACGTCACAGAAGAAGTAATATTTTAATAGTTGTGTGTATTTATTGGAATATATTTACATGTTAGCTTGAATCCAGTTTTTAATGATTTTTCTTTTTACTTATCTTACATTTTCTTACCACTTTCGCCAAATTTTGTTAGCAGTTAAATCTAATCAAAACAAGTGTTAAGTTTGTTACAAGGATATGTGTGCTAACCGTCCTCAATTTTGGACTGATAAATTAGACAGAATTCGGTTAATGAAAAGCATCATCTATCAATTTTTGGGAGACTTTGTTCAAATAGAGTGACTTGACTTTCACTGTTGTAAAAGTACACACGGTTCTCAAGTTCTGATCGCAATTTTACGACAAACAGAAAAAAGTTATAAAAATTATTTATAAAGTATATATTAATACACCGTTAGATGGAGCTTTTTTTCATCACGAGTCCACAGAGAGCATGGAGGCAATATGGCCTTAATGATTTTTTTTAGGGGAAGGTTGAAAAAATAATATTTAACATTTATTTTAATTGCAAATATTGAATGACAGTTATTAACATGTTGAAGCTTGATAGCTGAAACAACTTTTACCTAGATTAACAGCAGGTACTGATTAACTAAGGTATTTTTTAAAGTTCAATAACAACGATTATCGAACTTAAGTAAGTTGTGTTTAGTTGTAACTTGCAGTATAAGTTATAACTGTTGTAGCAGAATGAAGTTATAAAGTAATTGAAATTACGTGATACATCGTTCGTAGGTTAAGAATTAATTATAACAGTGGGGTTTTTTAATGTGGTTCTTGAACGGATAAATCAAATACTTATTATTACTTTAGAGAGAAAAAAATATGGAAATAATTGAAAATAAAACATTATTTAATTTTGTATTTGAAATCAATGGAAAAATTAATCTAGGCCATAAAAGGTTAATAGCTAACATAGAAATGAGAATTCAATTTCACAATTATATAATTTTTATATTTCTTATATAAAATTTAAGCAGCCTACATTTTAAATGGGGCTAACTACATTGTTAAAAGGGTTTTGCTGCTTGTAATTTTGTACATTGATTGAAAGGAAAACATTTTAGAAATAATGCGAGTTCCTAGAAAAAAAAATATTGAAATATATTGATGTTATTATTAGTGTTAAAGTTTTCATGAGTGTTCTTATTTTTGGATTATGCAGTACTAGTTAGTACTGTGCTAATAACAATGTTTATAGACTAATATTTTACTACGCCTAATTTTAGTTTCATTAGGCGTAATTACTAATATTAATATTTTTTACAAGGATATTGTGAACAGCGTATGTGTTTGGCCCACATAAAAATAAATAAATACATAAGATGACCAAACCACTGGTAACAGTAATGTTATTATTAATAAGTTTTGTAGAAGTTTAGCTAAGCCTAATGTTATCCTATAGTTATAAAAAGCTGCATGAGTGGTTTAACAATGGTATGAACAACTAGATTCTGAGATTTTGTTTAATCATTGCAACATTAGAAATTAATGCATCATTGGTTACTCAGAGACATTGTTACATATAGAGACATGAGTTAGTAATGTTATCCTATTAGTATTAATCAAGTGAAGGTACATTGTTTAAGTATCTTAACTTTAAGTTTAAATTAAGTTCTAAGACAAGGCTGTGATGATCAAATATCTGTCATTGTTAGGGTTAGTAATCCTCTTTTTTTTTAACTACTAGATAACAGTTGATAACTAATATGCTTCAGCTGTTGCTGTCTTCATGGAAATATTGAGAAGGATTTATTCTGTAATGTTGATGGCTGAGATTCTATCCCAGTCTTCTGGGTTCTCCCCTATTATGATTTGAATTAACTTCTTTGAATGTTTTCAAGAGGGTTTTCCAGCTTCTGCTGACTTCTGTGCAAGGCTGCTTAAATGTATTATTAGTTATATAGATGTAGAAGGCTTCTTTTATCTTTTGTTTTATTGTTTATGGTTCATATCCTGTTATTTTAGTATTATTTTAAGTTATTGCATGTCTTCTGCCTGTTACAGATATCCTGTTATTTTAGTATTATTTTAAGTTATTGCATGTCTTCTGTCTGTTACAGATATCCTGTTATTTTAGTATTATTTTAAGTTATTGCATGTCTTCTGCCTGTTACAGATATCCTGTTATTTTAGTATTATTTTAAGTTATTGTATGGTCTTCTGCCTGTTACAGATATCCTGTTATTTTAGTATTATTTTATTTTATTGCATGGTCTTCTGCCTGTAACAGATATCCTGTTATTTTAGTATTATTCTAAGTTATTGTATGGTCTTCTGCCTGTTATAGATATCCTGTTATTTTAGTATTATTCTAAGTTATTGTATGGTCTTCTGCCTGTTACAGATACTGTTGTTATAGTTTTCTCTTTGTGTAATGCTTCTGATTTCTAACTTTTGTTGGTCTTTTCAAAGCATTCAAACAAGATGGTTCAAGTCCTAAGGGAAAACCACAAGTGAACAGATAACACCTAAGCAATTCTAACAAGAAGATCCAGGATTGAATCTCAACTATTATGACAAGAAGATCCAGGATTAAATCTCAGCCATTATGACAAGAAGATCCAGGATTGAATCTCAGCCATTATGACAAGAATATCCAGGATTAAATCTCAGCCATTATGTCAAGAAGATCCAGGATTATATCTCAGCCATAATGATAAAAGAAAGATTTCTCATCAGGACCTAACTGAATACAACATAACATTAGAGGAAAAAAAGGGGCCTTTTGGTCCACTCAGGTTGTTGTGTCTACTAAATTAAACTAAACACTGAAAACTCAAAGCCAGCCATTATCATTTAAATGTTTATCACGTTTTCTCTTCAACTTCATTAGATTAATTGCATCTACTATATCTGAAGACAACTTGTAACAAAGGCCAACCACCACTTAAAAAATATACCTGTAGTTGTATGTGGTGTCAGTACTTACAGGTTCCAACTATTAGAGAATCATTCATTCTCTATGCCATAAGTTAGCATAACATAATGTTTGGGGCTGTCCTATCCTCTAAAGTAAACTAAAACTATTAAATAAGTAAATTAAAAAATACATAAATAAAAATCTTAAACCCAGCCCTTATCATTCATATAGTTCTCTCTTAAATTCACTTAAATTTACTGCCTTCACAACATCTGAAGGCAACCCATTCCAGAGGCTAACTACCTTGTTAGAAAAATAAAACTGTCTTAGCTGAAGATGACTCCTACCTTTCCAGAATTTATATTTATGTCCCCTAGTCAATCAGATCCCCTCTAACTCTTCTTTTTTCAAGAGAAAACAATTTCAGAGATCTTAATCTCTCTTCACATGATAACCCCTTCCACCCCAGGCACCATTCTAGTAACCCTCTTCTGAACCCTTTCCAACAATTCAATGTCCTTCCTAAGATAAGGATTCCAGGACTGAACACATTTCTTGATGTGGCTTGACCAGTGATGTGTACAATGAAATTATAACCTCTTTAGACTTGTATTCAATATTTCTGTAAATACAACCTAAAATCCCTACCACTAACAACAGCAAACTTCCTGGATGGCTTAAGAGACTAATCAACCATTACACCAAGTTCCCTTTCTTTTATGGCACTGTTGAGGTTATTCCCATCAAAATTATACTTATAATTCAAATTATGATAACCTGCAGGCATCATCTTGCATTGATTATAATTTAAACCCATTTGACATTTATTTACCCAACTAACTAAATGATCTAAATTCTTTTGTAAATCAGCAGCATCCTCTTCACAGCTAGCAACATCCAAGACCTTAACATTATCAGCAAATTTAAGTAATTTATTGACCATTCCTTCATCTTTGTCATTGGTATAAATCAAAAAGAGCAAAGGTCCTAAGACTGAGCCCTGAAGTACCCCACTTGTGACATTAATTCAGCTTGACTGAACTCCAGTTATAACCCTCTGCTTTTTACCATCCAGCTACTCTTCAATCCAATTAGTTAACTTATCCTCCACTACTTGTCAAAATCTTTTTGAAAATCCAGATACACCAAATCTACACCCTTACCCTCATCTACATAACCAGTAACCTTTTCAAATAATGTCATAAGATTTGTAAGGCAAGATTTTCCCTTGGTGAAACCATGTTGATTATCCAATAAAATTCTAAACTTTGTTAAATGGCTTTGCAAAGCATCTTTTATCAAACTTTCCAAAACTTTTCCCACAAGTGATGTAAGACTAATGGGCCTAAAATTACTGGGACAATTTTTATAACCTCCTTTGAAAAGAAATAACTTCTAATCCTCTGATACTTGCCCACTATTTAAGGCATTAGAAAAAATATATCCAGTTCTTAACCTCCTTCAATACCCTTGGGGAAATATTATCTGGCCCAGGAGCCTTATCATTCTTTAAACTTCACAGTTTGTTTTCTTAACAAGCTCAGAATTAATGCAATTGTCGTATTTGACTTTGTTTTCATCTATCAACTGTTAAAGATATGAAATATTGCTAAAATCTTTGTTAGTAAAAACTCGAGAAAAAGCAATTTAATAACCCAGCTAACTGATAATCATCAGATACAAGCCTTCATTTATCAACCCTCAAGGGTCCTACCCCCATCCTAACATTATGTTTACCCTTAATAAATGTAAAGAAATCCTTACTGTTAATTTTGATATTTTTAAAAGGTTGGCTAGTTGATAAATTAGGACAGCAAAAAGGATGTATGAGCAGTTATTAGACACTATAATACAAGACTACATCAGCAGCGTAAGAGACGTCACATCAAGAATATATCAAATATCCAATAGCAATAGTAAAAAAAGCAAATGTTGAAGAAATGAGACAAGATTTATCTGTCATGAATTAGGCAGCTGAATTATTTGGAGACAAATCAAATGAGGAAAAGTGTGGCTGTAAGTAAAAAACTAGGTTGGTTCACAAAGGGTGTAAGAGATAAAATTAAAGAAAAGTATCACAGATTTAAGAAATGTAAATTGATTGGTATGATGGGAGATTTAGAAGATTATAGATCAAGACTAGCTCTATTACTAGATGTCACATCAAGAATATATCAAATATCTGAATTGTTACACTGCTGATGTAGTCTTGTTATTATTGTGTCAAATAACTATAGCTCTATTACTATCAGATATTTGATATATTCTTGATGTGATGTCTGTTACACTACTGGTGTAGTCTTGTTATTATAGTGTCTAATAACTATAGCTCTATTACTATCAGATATTTGATATATTCTTGATGTGACATCTGTTACACTGCTGGTGTAGTCTTTTTATTATAGTGTCAAATAACTATAGCTCTATTACTATTAGATATTTGATATATTCTTGATGTGACATCTGTTACACTGCTGGTGTAGTCTTGTTATTATTGTGTCAAATAACTATAGCTCTATTACTACCAGAT